TCCTTCCTTCCTTCCTTCCTTCCTTCCTTCCTTCCTTCCTTCCTTCCTTCCTTCCTTCCTTCCTTCCTTCCTTCCTTCCTTTTTGCCTGTCTCTTTTGGCTGAGCATTTCTAAATGATAATACAAATTTCTTTTTTCTTTACTTACGTTTCAGTTGAAATTGCAACCCTGACACGAGAGAATGGAAAGACGATAATAAGAGTTTTGAAGCAAAAAGAAGTGGAAGTATTGATAAAGAAACACGAAGAAGAAGAAGCAAAAGCAGAGCGTGAAAAGAAAGAGAAAGAGCAGAAAGAAAAAGATAAATAAATCAAGCACCTTGAAGAAGGGGCTGTTTCAATAAACTGGCCCAGATCTTGGAGGGCTGTTTATTGAATCTGTTCCTTGATATCACTGAAACACATCACCTCTTTCCTCAGTGAAGAGAAATCTATTTGTCATTGCATCTTTCTTTTATATTACATAATAAAAAAAGTGAATGGTACTGTTGAAGTGCTGAGTATACCCATGGCACCAGATAAGCGGCTAGTGAAAAAACATAACATGGTTTGAAAAATATTAGGTAGCTTAAACTATAATAATATATTTAAAATGGAACCAACCCGATTCTTACAGTGGTGATCAGAGGATAGACTTAAGGATCTTACTGAAATTGAAACGACCTTTCCTGAGAGCAGAGGAACAGCTTTCTTTAATCAGTAATTTTTCTGAAAGGCTTTGCCGAAGAGGAATTAATTGGTCCAATTAAAATGTAGATGATCCCTCCATGTATGAGTTTTTCACAAAATGTTGAACCCACAAAGCTAACGGTGTGCTCCCATTCATGAAAGCTGGGTGAAAATTCATAATGTTTCTCTCCAGACAAGAAGCCCACGCTCACTCACTTTCAATAATTTTTCTTTTCCTCCAGGATGCATCTGTGAAGTCTTCATGGCATGCGGTTTGCCATCTTGCTATCCTAATCTAATCTAATCTAATCTAATCTAATCTAATTAATCTAATTTAATCTACAACCCTGAGATAAACTTGGGGTTTCCATCAAGTTTAAAGCTGGTCTTGTGCTACTTAGTTCTGGGTCCAAACAAGGTTGGCCATAAACTTTATTGATCCAATTATCTAAACAGTAGATTTGCTTCCTCCCCAGCCTTCTGCATTTCCTTTGGACTACTTCCTGTTGAAAACACAGGATGCTACAGTGTACTAGATCTTCCTGACAGAAATATTTTCACATTTTCTTTTATCTCGTTATTGTACAAAACTCGAGGTGCTGATTGAAAATGAGGATATGCACTTAGAAATCTGGGCCATTGCTTAAGGAGTTTTCAATCACTGCTGAAATATTTTTTTATTACAGAGTTCAGGAGTGCTTACCGTTACGCAAAAGGAGAAAGAAAGCTTTTGCGAAATAATATGGTTTAGCGCTCTGCCAACAGTCTTTCCAAGACAGCTGCAGTACAATTGCAGCCGTGTCTGGAATGATAACGAGAAGGTGTCCTGGGAAATCAGTGTTTAACTGTGTATTAATTTTTCAAATGCTTTCAGCAGCGCCTAGCTCAAAGTTATTTATTTTATTTATGTTTCAAATTTAGTCGCCATCCATCTCACTCATTACGCCGCTTAGAGCCTTGGATTTTAGCAGGGTGAAGAGCGGGAAAAAGGGGGCAGGTATTTTCTATTGCAGGTGTTAAGAGAGTAGGAAATGGTGTGTTTGCTTACAGGTGGGAGCTTGGCAGAGGTGGCCCAAGATGCTTGCAGAAGATCTTTGCAAAATCAATCAGCAATTTGCAGCTGTTGCTGAAGATTTATTCAGAGCAATATAAAGGAGGCTGTGGCTCACTCCACTCCATATAACACACTTCTGGGAAATTTTCTTTCTTTCTTTCTTTCTTTCTTTCTTTCTTTCTTTCTTTCTTTCTTTCTTTCTTTCTTTCTTTCTTTCTTTCTTTCTTTCATATTGATATTAAAATCCTACAGAAAAAGCACTTGTTTGGGGGCACAAGTCAGGTGCAATCCAGAAATTGCTACAGATTGTCAGAATACAAAGTAGGGGCTACTGACAAATTCAAAGGGAATAAAAAGAAAGAAATTGAAAGCAGTGCCGGTGAATTGGCTAAGAATGCCCTACTTCCTTTATCATAAAGGACAGTCCTTCGTTTCAGGAAGATGTCCTTTGGATTTATTTAATTTAATTATTTATTTTCTTGGTTTTGCTCTTGAATTTTCCTTTGCAAAGCAAACTTACAAGCATTTCTTTTTTATCCTTAGGAATCTTTCAGATTGGCCCCCTTTTCAGGTCGGTCCTTTATTTTTTCCAAGAAAATAGGGTCACTGTGGCTAAGGGAAACGTTTGACAGCTGTAAAATTAAGTGGTGGAGGCTGGCAAACGAATTAGAAGATGCTGCTTCTGTTAGATTTTCCCCTCCGTATAGCCCTTGCGATATTGATTAGAAGACCCAGGCGCTTTATTTGACCTGTAACGATTTTTTTTTCTTGACTTCAGGGGACCGTTTATGTCTCCTATATTGCACATTAAGGCAATTTGCAAAGAACACCTTGGAAGCTCTTTTTTTCCCTTTTCCATCTTTTAAGTCCCAAGGATTGAACTGAGAAACGTGTCCTGCATAGCTCTGCCTCTCCAATAAATACCAAAAATTAAGCTTTCAACCCGCCCAAAGCAACTTCCAGAGTAATGAGGGAGATCATTCGCCGTGTTTATCAAACAGTTTTATTCAGTTGCTACGGCGTATGTATCCTGAGGAATCCTCACAACAT